CCAGGATAGTGCGCGGTGGGGTCCGGTGGAGATCCTGAGGATCATTCGTCCCCGCGCGACGGCATATGCCGTGCCGGTGGGCGGCCAAACCAGCGCGCGGCGCGACGCACGTCAAAAACCGGGGACCCGCCCGACCCGAGCCTCGGTACCACTTTCGCTTTCTTTTTTTTGAGGGTCAGTCCATCCACGCGCCCGCCCGCCCCTCGTTCTGGACCCCTGCACCGGCCGCTCTGGCGTCCGACGGAGAGTGTACCGCACATCCTTGGGTCGGGTCGGGTCGGGTCAACCGACCCGTGCGCATGTCACCGCGGAAAGCGCAGGGAACGATTTTAATTTTAGTCGGGCGGAAGGAACTTTGCGATTCGATTCAATTTTGTCTCCCAATTTTCTAAAGATTTTCTGAAGAGAAGAGGGTTATGTCTTTGACCATCTCCATCCGTGTCACGGGCAGAGGAGTTTTGCAACGGTCCTTGTCCTTCACAAAACCATGGAACAATATACCAGTGTGGCAGCGCCCGCCATACGAGAGATCCAACACTTTTTTAAAAGGGAAACCGGTACGAGATATCCCGTTCATAAAATTTCGATCCAGACGGGCGTCTTAAACGGATCTCAAACATTCGGGCTGACCGACATCTCTCGTATCCAGCCCAAATACGGGATGGACATCAGACGCATGGGCGCGTCGGCCAACCCCGCTGCATGCAGGTCGTAGCGGTCCCACCTGCAACGACAGAAGCTCCTTCCTCTCTCATCGATGCATCCAAGTTTTAGTCCCACATCGCCGCGGTAGGCAGACACCGACCGGCTTAAAACAGCCTCGTCGGCGGATGGCGGCATACTTCTCTGTTGTTGTATAGGTCTATCAATTCTCGCCGCGTGAACGAGATAACTTGACACCAGACTGCATTTCATTAACTGATGATTGTTCATCGAGTGTCAAGTTTGTCTTTGTTCACGTACGCTGATACCCCTACTACAATCGCAATCGTTTTTATTTCGTTCATCGATTTTTACAAACACGTCGTGATTCATAAAAAAATAGTACTAACATGAATGTTTCCTTTATCGACATATCGACACATAGTGACAAACTATTTTCTTAACAGAGGGTGACGCTTCTGGACGACCCAACTATTTAAGCCACTCGACTAGCTTGTCATGCGGGCTGATGGGACTAATACGGGTATGAAATTGTAACTATGTGCAATTTTTGGTGTATTTTGGCAACCCAGCCTGCCCTAGACGGATGGGATGATCATCATGCATGACCCAGTATGTAATAGATGTTTTAGAAATAGGGTTTGTGGTTTCAAAGCGTAAATTTGCAAAACTTGTTTTTACTAGTAAGTGTGCACGTGCAACGCACGCATTATCATGTGTAAAATTACCATCATTCGTTCTAGAAATAATGAACCAAAATATAGTGTGCTAAGTGCTAACACAAGAGAGGCGATATAGACGTTTAACAATGTTGTGATACAAAAAATGTCACTTGGACTAAAAATGAGTGAACATATTTGTCATCAATCATGAGTAAACCGGCAATCTTCGAGGAAAATTTCAAAGAAGTATATCATGATTTTCTATTTTTCTTGACCAAATCCTTTTCGAATCCTTGCCAACAATGACTGACAAGTGGTATAGACATATTATCTTATTGTGATTAACAAGTCATGTGAATATAAATTATACATTGGTATTATTAAAAAAAATTAAATAGAAGGCATAACCATGAAGAAATCGATGCACAACAATAAATATTTTTAAAGGACACCACCAGTTCACACACATAAATGATATACATGTTTAGAAACAAAACAAAAATGAACATGAGTATACTGAGTAATCATGCACACAGGCATGGCAGAGAGAGTACAAATGATCCCTTCATCTCTAAAGAAAAGGGGAAATGTCCCAATCAGTTCTGGAAACATAGTCATGGGGTACAAATGTTGAACCTACTGGCAAAATTATTGATTTGCTTTTGGAAATTTGAAAAAAAAAATCGCATTTAATAATCGTAAATTTTCTTACATAAATTTCTAAACTTTGGAAAAAAGAGATTAAATAGAATTCACAAGAGTTTTAAAAAATGTTCACTTTTTCCAAAAAAATCCCTGTAGTTTTCTGAAGATGTCCACTTCTTTATTTAGAAACAAAAAAGTCACTCTTTTTCTTCTGGAAACCAAATTAAGAACCGGGAAAATCAAAGAAAAAACACGAAAAGGCCCGCAGCTGGGGCGAAAGACGCATTTTGACGCTTGATGCGTCACATAGGACCTCCCCCTCGTTGGAGATGCCCTTGGAGCGTGGTCTCCTTCCTCTAGGCCTCTACCATCGTCAAGACGTCAACAAGAGACATGCATGCATGACGGACTCATGCCCTTGATTCATCGTTGGTGCATGACTGAGCGTGCCCATGCATCCACTCACGACGACGCACGCACGCGCCTCGCGCTGGGCACCGGCGCGCCGGGAAGGAGGTAGTTGCACCACGCCATGGTCGCCGCCCGCGCGCTCCACCCCGGCCACACCCACCTCATCCATGGCTATAAATACGACGCCGTCTCGCAGCTCACACAGCCCAAGGTGCAAGCTGCGAGTAGTGGTAGCACACGCACGCACCAACAGTTCCAGCGACCGAAGCCAGCGAGACACCGAAGCGTCCGTGCTTCCAGCCAGCCATGTCTCGCTCCGGGTGCCTCGCGGTGCTGCTGCTCCTGGTGCTCGCCGCCAGGGCGGCCGCGGCGATCAAGCCACTGGAGGAGGAGCCGCAGGGCGGCAAGTGGACGGACCAGCTCACGGCGGGAGCGGCGATCAAGCCGTCGGAGGAGCAGCCGCAGGACGGCAAGCTGGCGGACCACGTCGCGGCGGGAGCGGCGATCAGGCCATCGGAGGAGCAGCCGCAGGACGGCAAGCGCCTCACGGCGAGAGCGGCGATCACGCCATCGGAGGAGCAGCCGCAGGACGGCAAGCGCCTCACGGCGAGAGCGGCGATCACGCCATCGGAGGAGCAGCCGCAGGGCGGCGTGCGGGCGGGCCACCTCACGGCGGCCAAGGGCCTGCTGGGGGAGGAGCCCGCCGCGCGGCTGGCGTACGTCCGGACGGAGGAGAAGAAGGACAGCGAGGAGGCGGCGACGATGCCGTTGGAGGGGATGAAGCCCGGCGGCGGCGTGGCGATCCAGCAGGGCGGCGACCCGGGCACGGTGCCGTCGGCGTCGTCGGGGAGCGGCGAGCACGCGAAGGAGGAGAGCGGCGAGCACGCCGGCAAGGAGGGGAGCAGCAGCACCAGCAAGGAGGGGGAGAAGTCGGCCAAGAGCTGCCTGACCAAGGAGGAGTGCCACAAGAAGCGCCTGCTCTGCGGCAAGGGCTGCACCATGTCCGCCCACGCCAAGTGCGCCGCCAAGTGCTCCAAGTCCTGCATCGCCACCTGCTAGGCGCCCCCCGCCGCCGCCGGCGACGGTCTTGATCATCCATCTTTAGCTTGTTTTGGTGAAGGGAATAAGGGAAGGGGCACGCCGCAGCTAGCCGCATGTCTGCATGTGTGGTGTAGCGTACGTAGCCTCTCGATATATCTCGTCTTCGTGTCGTCGTCGTTGGTGTAGTGTTTTGATGTGGCCCCGTGTTTGTTCGTGTGTGTTTAGGACTGATATTCGTGATGTTAGTGCCATCTGTGTTTTGTTATGTGTCCTTTGTGGTGATAAATTTGGATGAAACTTGAATAAGAATTGCATGCGCATGTTAACTTGTTTGCTCAACTGTCAGAAAGATGAGCAGCCTTCAGTCTCTCGGGTCATAGGAAAGGAAGAAGATTCAATTATAACAACCTTTTTGTTAAAGAAAACAATAAGCTAACTAAGAGATTATTCTAGCAGAGTGAGACGTCCGATGTTGGGTGTTTGGCAAACTGAACAAGAAGAAATGCAGCATATCAATGGTGGAAATACATCACGAACATCCACTCCATGTGTCAAAACTCTCTGCCTCAGTACATGGAGAATAGTTCTTGTGTGCTGTCCGGTCGTACGAACATATTCCGTGGTCTACATGCAAGTTTTTATTATATATATACTACTACATATCTATTACTCTTGGACCAAACCAGCGTTTTGGGTACCGCGCGAGAAAATCGGTTACCAGGCGGATACCGCGTTTCCAAATACCCCACGAGAAATCAACTTCTCAAGCAAAAAATTCCAAAATTTTGTTCGGATTCAAAAAAAAAAAAGCGTCTGGAATTTGCTTGGAATTTCGCCCTAACCGTGGTAACCGAGTTTTTCGGTGACCCACGAGAAAAAAGTGCCCCTCGGTAGCCAAATCCTTGGACCAAACATATAACTCGTGCAAATTGCCACTTACTATTTAACTCTCTCTAAAAAAAAGAGAAGCAAGAGAGTGCAAATGATTTCTATAAGAGCAACTCCAACGCAGGGACCTAAACGAACACGGATGTTATCCGTTTTTGTCCGTTTGGGTCGCTCGTCCGCCTAGTGGACATGCGAGGACGATGGATATACCCAACACAAAAACATACGGCGGACCCATTTCCTGCCTCTGCGGCTGATTTCGTCGGCAAAGCAAGCGTCCATGCAGCTAGAGCAGGAAGCAATGAGGTTAGAGTGGCCGGACATGGTCGGGCGCAGCCCGGAGCGCGGCCGGAAGCTCGAGAGCGGGCGCAGCCAGGAGCACCCAGGAGCACGGCCGGGCACTCGAGAGCAGGCGTGGCCGGGCGCGGTCTAGAGCGTGCCCAGAAGCTCGAGAGCGGGCGCGGCCAGGAGCACGGCCAGGCGAGCGCAGGGGAGGCAAGGCACGGGGGGCAGGCCAGGCGCGACGAGCTCCAACGCGGAGATGCACTGGCAGGGACGGCAGGCCGGGCGAGCGCGCATGGAGGGCCGGCGCGGCGAGCGCGCATGGAGTTGGACTGCAGGATGCGCTGGCGGGGATGGCAGGCCGACACTGCTCCAACTCTCGAGCGGGGTGGGCGGGTGGGTGGGAGAAGAGAGAGGAAAAGGAGGAGAGTGATGGGATGGAACGGGTGGGTGGATGGCAACTGGGCCAAGCGGCACATGCAGCCGGACAGAGGCGGGCGAAGAGTGCACAGAGAACGTCCGCTTTGTGTCCACCTCTGACCCAAATGTGCCTCAAATTTTGGCTGGATATGGGTCCGAGGGAACACAAAACGAAAACAGATGGACGATGTGTCCGTTTGGGTCGCTCCGTTGGGCCAAGTTTTTTGTCTGGATGACCCAAACGGGCAAAATGGGTCACCCGGTTGGAGTTACTCTAAAATATTTCTCGCCGTGCTCAAACAAATATAAGTGGAGAACATAGAGCAATCGACTCAACTCAAAAGTTATAAGTGAAGAACATAAAACATTCTATAAATTTGAGATGAAGGTGTAGATTGCCATAGCATTGGTTGCTATAAAATTTGTTAGCCGGCTAATAAGTGCTAAATTTATTGTAGATTGGCATAGCATTGGTTATAGTTTGCTTGATTATCTCATGGAAAAAGTCATGTAATAGTCAATGTCTATTTTGGGGAATCCCTCCAACCATGTTTTGCCATTTCTGCTGATGAAACATAAATGCAATGCCTTTTTTTTTTACTCATGCATACAGCCGTAATTCTGTTGCAGGTATGTGGTAATATTCTTTGCTTTTAAAGGAAGGAGTAGTCACGCTTAACTAGAATCTATTCCGAGTGATCGCATGGAAGTATTTGCCGGAAACATAATAATCTCTGCCTTTTTCACTTCTCAAAAGATGTTGCTTTGGAAAGCTATGAGGAATGCCCTCACAATGGCCAGCACCGACCACCGAATAGCCAATTTACTCTGGCTTAAATCGAGCGCAGAAAATACAGGTTCTATTTTCAGCATTGCATAGTGTTGTTCTGAATTTTGTAGGCTGATTGTAAGAATGAGAATTTTGGTTGTTAGGAATGTTTTTCTGTTTTGATTGAGGGAAGTTTTGGTGTCAGCCTTCCATAATCGATGATCATGTAAGCATCATCGTTCTATGTGTATTGTTGTAGAAAAATACTTTTTGTCTGAATGACTCTCGTGAAGTGGTGATGTTTTTTTTTTCAAACCAATTTCATTTGCATGTAGCTATTGCTGTGAATGCAATGCAAATTCAGACGCACTGTGCAATGCAAATTCAGACATTTGGGCTTTTTTTAGGTAAAACCTGACTAGCTAGCAGTGCTGAACAACTATGTCCGTTTTCGCTTGGCTTTCGTTAAAGAAATCGGAGGGAGCTGCATTGCTATGTGAAGTTCTTTCTTCAGACCAATTTCTAGCTGTTGGTATAATTGCACTTAGCTTTGTCTTTAAAAAAATGATTGAGAGGTTGTTCTCAACATCCAAATTATCCAAGTTCTATCTTAAAAATTGGGGAGAATTTTACTTCCCCGGCCTCTGCACCATCTAGGGATGCATACGGCCATTTTAGTATAAGTATCAAGTTCTATCTAGGACTGTCTTTCCTAAATTAGGCAGATATTCTTTGTATTCTCGTGGTAATGATATATCTTTTTTGATCCTTGTTAATAAAAATACCTTAAAACGATTGTTCTACGGTCACAGGTAAAAAAAAGAAGATATATTTTCTCACTACTGCGCCGTTTCCGTTTGTCGCTAGTTGTGACCGATTTCTTCACCACGTCTTTTAAGCTAATTGGCACGAGTTGGTACAACTGGAGATGCATGTTGATCATCAACTAACCAACTCTACCTTATGCCAGCTTCTCACCACGCTCACACCGCGACACACACCACGCCACGCCACACGAACACACATGACAGCGACACACATGCTCATCACTAGGGTTGACTGCCTTATAAATTCACAGGCCAACTCACTCCTCTCTCTCCCTCCTTCTCTTGCTGCTTCCAATTCCAAACCAAGCGAGCGAGCGAGCGCCAAGTGATGGAGAACCGGCACGTCGACACCGAGAAGTGGGTCAAGGTGAGCATCCAAGGGGCTCCCTACCTGCGGAAGGTGAACCTGAGGGCGTACCGAGGGTACAGGGAGCTCATGGCTGCGCTCTTCTGCTTCGTCCGCACATTCAACTGGGCTAGCCAGCAGTGGGGCATGCTGGTGGCCTACGAGGACGAGGCCGGCCACTCCATGCTCGCCGGCGACCTCCCGTGGGAGTAAGCAAGCCCCCATCATCGTCTCTGCATCTCAGTTACATACTGTACATGCCAGTAAACATCTTTCACGTGTGTTGAATATATGGTTTGTGCATGTATATTGTATAGTCCGGCCCACCTCCTAGTCTTTGTATAGTTGAGGTTGTGGCTTCACTTTGTACTCCATATATACGTGCGCTTTGCACCGATCAATACATCGTGAAGCATTGCCAAAACAATCGTTTCCAACATGGTATCAGACCTACGATCCTAACCCTAACCCGTGCCGCCGCCGCCGCCGCCGCGATCGCATCGCCGCCGCCGCCGCCACCCGCCGCCGCCGCTGCCGCCGCGT